TACTAGAAGTATGCAAACGAAAATTCGAAATGTGCATACATGTGCAAACGATGAGCAATCGAATGAGCTATAGAAACTTTATGTTTTTCAATGTTGGGGGCTATCTTCAAACAGGTCATATATACATATATACATATGGAGTCTAAAAATAATATGATAATGTTCCGAAGAGAGAAACGGAAGATAAAGTTACGATCGAGTTTATTTCTCCTGCTCTTTTCACAAAACCTGCACGGAAAGAACAGTTTTCTTGGTAAATTTAAAATTTGACCAGAACGGTCAAATTAATTGTTCAAAAATCAAAAACTGTTGTATTATCATTACCATACTTAAGCGACTTACATAATAACCTTGATGGCTCAAAACAACAAAACTATCTTCAAATCTGTATGACCAAACTTTTAGACTTGTCATCAAAGTTGGTTCTCTCCATGTGGACTGAAAAAATTCTAATCGTGTCCTTTGCATTTATCGGAATCGCTCGAATTCCGCCTAACCGAAATCGAAATGTCACCGTCGTGCTACCAGCGACAGATCCGATTAGTTTTACTTCTAGACGTGTATTCCGTTTGCCAATCTGCCCCAATTTGACATCAGCGGCGATCTTGCTCATAGTACGATAATCGCGACGTCGAGGGAGCTACTCGCGATTACGCGCTAATTCCGCAAATGATGACGACACGCTTCACGCACTCATCGCCGCAGCGTTCTCGTTTCGCAATGTCGATCAAGGATCGATTTCGTGCCCGATGCACCTGCGTGCCGAGAGAAGGACATTCGATGTGCGTCAATCATGCACAGAAAAAAATGTTAATCTCAATTAAGACTACATATATTCTCATACATAAGCAAAGTATGTAATATAATATATAATCTTCATGGAAAAATTTTAATCTTGATTTGATTGAATTTGTATTGATATATTCTTTTATGTAAGCAAGAATATTATAATCTTCATGGAAGAATCTTGAATAAAAATCATATTTGCATCAATATAAATTCAATCAGGTCAGGGCTAAAATTTTTCAGAAAATTGTAATATTCTTGCTTATATAATGCTTATATAAAGATAATATTTGGTTGAAGACTAATTTTTTTCTGCATATACAATGTTTCTCATTAAGGTACAGCATATTCGCAATATTATCGCAATCAGTCCATATAATTCGATGTAAAATTTGCTGTTTGCCTTGTGGCAATAAAACCTTGTTATTTTTACTGTTCGTTAATATCTCAGGCATCGATATATTTTACGTTAACAACATTTATAAGTACCACGACGTCAATTCAATTAATTTAAATATATATATATATATGTTAAACTCGGAGAATGCCGACATCGGTATTTTATGTAATTCAGCGTTGAAAAGCGCGTTATTGTTTCGTGAAACTTTCTAGTTCGAAAGAGAGATAAAGAGAGAAGTAAGTGAAATTGACGATCGTTGAGATAGGCATTAAATAGATAGCTGGACAGATACATGGGTGAACTTCTTGTTTTATACATGGCGGATGTATACCCTCGGCTATAAGAGAAACGGAGAGGAG